ATTTTGCGCCCCTAACTAGCTGGCGGCCGGGTACATCTGCCCTCCCCCTGCTCCCCCTTCGCTACGCCTCTGATCTACAGTGTCTACTGTTTAAGGTATTTTTTTTTTTAAGTCACAACTTCATGAAAATAAAGCTTTTATTATTTTTTTCGTCCATTAAAAGTTTATCATTATATGTATTTCATGTTAATCTACCACTAAAATGAACTGAAAAAAAAAAAAAAAATCTCAATTCAATGCTTATTAATCCTTTATTACGTAACCAAATTTAATATTTATCTCTAAGGGGGGTAACAATAAGACATTCAATTCTTCAAAAGTATATTAAAGTTACTCCCCCTTTTCTAAATGTCCCTTGGGCTGTTTTAAGTTCTTTTTTTTTCTTTTTTCAATTATTAAATCCTTTATATTAACTTCGCTTTTGTTTGTGTTTCTTTATTAGTTTGGGGCGAAATCTTTGTAAGGTTAATTGACCCACTTCCTGTCAACCTATTGAGCTGAAATTTTACACTTGGACTTGTTGTCAATGACAACATATTACTTCAAATTTTCAGCCCCACCCAGTTTTTCCTTTGTTTTCCAAGGAAGGGACACTAATAGTTCTTTCAATGGATGCGCGTTTGTTGTTGAGGTTAATTTTGTAGCTTTGATTTGTGACGAATTGGGAATGCAGTAAAAAGAAAATGTTTTGTGGTTGTTGTTGTTTTTTTTTTTTTTTTTTTTTTTTTTTTTTTTTTTTTTTTTTTTGAAGGGGAAAATAAAGTAAAATATGAAACATGTTTTCCCCAGAATTTGACCCATTTACATAACCGCTTCTTAATGAATGATAAATCATGTACACTTAAATAAACGCAAACAAAAATGCATGTAAAGGATTTATAGGAAAATCTTTGTTTTCCAGCTTGCTTTGTAATTTTGTTTGTGGTGGAATCTTCAATCTCAATTTTGCCCCACTTCCTGATGTCCCAATTGAGTAATTGAGCTGAAACTGTGTACACTTATCCACCACCCACCCACCCCCCACCCCCACCTCCCGATGACAAAACTACTTCAAGATCAGTTATCACCAGTGACATAAACTGACCCTTGCGTGACCTTTTATTCGTTCATGAAGCCAAGGTCAATTCGGTAAAAATTGTAAATTATTTGTTAATGAAGCCAAGCTCAACTCAGTGAAATTGTTCAATTCCATTCTGTGAAAAGTTCAAATTTAATATTTCATTGTTGGTTTAAAAAAAAAAGAAAGAATAGGAATTCACAAATTTATTGGTCTTATAGTGCGGTACCCCAGCCTAGGGCTGGGCTCACCGCGCTGTACATAAAAATATTATCAAAAGAGACATAATCATGACATTAAAATAAAATACATTTATGAAATAAAGAACAGCAAAAAAAATGTATACTCACCCACCCAATCACATAACTTTTACAAGGCAAACCATAGACGGCAGCCAGCAAGATCGTTTATCGGTCAGAGGAGGGGAATCACAAAGGGTAGTATCGTTCACCATATGTTTTAGTGTGTGTCATGGGAACGGACAGAATACGCGTGTCTGAGAGGAGCGAAGCTGTCGAAGGGGTGAATAGACAGAAAGAAGTTCGGTTAGATAGGAAGGGCAGGAATCCAAGAGAAAGTTGTGACAGAGAACAGACAACTTGTAGTCAATGCGTGCCTGTATAGGTAGCCAATGAAGGGAGTGGAGTAGTGGAGTGACGTGATCGCGTTTTTTTGTTGTTTTATTGCCTTTAAAACTAGCCTAGCAGCTGAGTTTTGAACTTTCTGCAGTTTTTCTATGCAGTGTTTTGGTGAACCTGACAGAAGAGAGTTGCAATAGTCAAGATGAGAGAGAACAAGAGCACAGACTAAGAGTTTTTGTAGCGCTAACTGTGAGGTAGTGGCGGATGGAGCTGATCAGACGGATAGTGGTGTATGCTGAACGACAAATGTGAGATATGTGTTTATCGAGAGACATGTTGTTAGAAAGAATATAACCAAGATTCCTAGCAGTGGGTGTAAACCATATGTTGGAGTTACCTACTTGAAATGAGGTGGGAAGAGTTGTGGTAGAGGATGATGTGTGATTGTGAATGAGGAGTGCTTCCGTTTTGTCATCATTAAGCTTCAACTTGCTGAGTATCATCCAAGACTTGACATCATCAATGCACCCCCGCAAAATATAGAGAATATGTTTGCAGTAATAGGCAACAAGATATTTTCCCAACAGTTAGATTTGTCCAGCTTCCTTTAGGACTTGTGATGAAGTTATTTAAAAATAGAAAAATCGATGTGTTTTCTCTTTATTAAAAAGCTATCAAACAACCCACTTGACCGACATGTTCCAAGTTTGGTTTGACGTCCAGTTCTTCTGTATTTTGTCTCATGGTTGCACATAAAGATGATTGTCTAATGGGAAGATCCTCCTCTAGATTGTCTAAGATATAAACATCTCCATGGATACTACTTCTTCCCTTCTCAGCAGTCAGTGGAACAGACAGTTCACAATCTATTTCCAAATCTGTCTTAAACTTAAGTGCATTTTCGGACATTTAGTATCAAGTTGTTGTTTTTTCTAGACAAAGGTCGGATATTAGAATGAAAAGGAGGTTATATTGTTATGAATTATTTTATATATTTATTCAGTCTCTCACAATAAAACAACATTACAAAACACTAAGGTCAAAAGATATCATCAAAGAAAACGCATGTATTGTTCATGTCAAATTTAATTAATAGATTGCCAGTGTCGTTAATTTCATACATTTCACAGCACACCTTTTATTTCTATAGTCAGGAATTTTAAAAAAAATGAAATGCTACATTTATTTTATTTGAGTTAGGTGTAGAGTTTGGAAACAACAAATTTAAATAAAATTTAACATACAAAATAATACGTTACACAAAGATATTGTACAATTTTTAATAACAGTAATATTAATTTGTTTTAACTTAAAATTCTAAATTGACACCTTAAATTAGAGGATAAATTTATTATTGTGACCTTTACAAGTATTTATTAAAGTTTATTGGTCTGTCTTGACATTTACTTGAAAGTTGAATAAAATTTGTCACCCATGATATGCAAAATTAAAAGCAAAAAAAAGAAACTCTGATCAAAATGAAATCAATTACAACCAGAACAACAGAAACCCCGAATATTACAACAGAAGACAAGAAAGTCTAAGTGTCCAAAAGGGATCCAAGTTTTTTTTTTTTTTTTTTTTTTTTTTTTTTTGGGAACTACATAGAAGTCTTATATTATAGTGTTTTGATCAAAAGCATTTAAGTTTTTAACGCTATCTGTGTACAGCTTGAGAGTTATTCAAGTTGTGTACAACCCTATCATCTGCTAATCTTTCTATCAGGCCGACAGGCAGGCTCAAACTGACCGCTCCTCTTACTACTTTGTGTACAGTCCTATGGTCTGCTGCTTTTTCTATCTGGCCTACAAGCAGGTTCGAATGGACCGCTCCTCTTACCACTTTGTTTTTCTTGAAAAATGTAATGGTGTGGTAGAAGTTTAAGCTTGGACTGTTTTTGTTTCTCAAGGCTTGGATTCTTATTTTGATCCTCAGATTTTATTAGTGTAGACTCCAGCCTTTGTTGCAGGTCCACAATTTGAGCTTTTAGAGACGCAACTTCACGATCATAGTTTTCTTTCATGTGCTGCATTTTCTGGAGGCAAGATCATGGTGGTTGCAGACAGAAACAATTTTTTTTTATGTGATTTAAAAACATGAATAACATATATTGCCATAAACTTTAATAAATTCCTATAAATAAAGAATAATAGACAAGCTTGTGTGCCATTATAACCTGCAAATCTTACATGTGATCATGAGAGCAGAAATCTTTTACCGGTGTATCATAACACACTGGTTTGTCTTTAATGTTCATAAGCCGATAGCAGGATTTTGATAAAATGAATTGAAAAATCACAACTAAAAATTAAGGTGTCTGTGGGCAATTGTTCTTAAATATTAGCTGCATATATTTACATTGTTTTACAAAACTGTGCAATTAAAAACAAAATTGTACATTAAAACTTTGGTAAGTCAAGTGTGTTGCAAGATGTAACAATGAAGATCCCCAATGCCTGAGGGATTTGAATATTATCATCAAATTTGTTCTCAGCCAATTCTATAGTATCTAATTTTATATTTTTTTAAATAATTTTGACTTTAATTTCGTTTAAGCTTATTTTTAATGAGACACATATGGTCCTCTTTTTTTTAAATATAAAATCTTGTAAGAGGAGGATGTACCCAGAAAATTACAGTATTTAACTGATTAACTATACATTTATTTCAGTATTAGATTTACAAAAAAAAATGTTTTTTTTTTAAATCTTGCCCAGATTAATGAGATTTGTACATTTTGAGAAAAAAATCAATCTTATAATGACTAAAGAAAAACTACACGACAGAATTATTAATATTTGTACAAACTCATTACCTTTCGTATAACGTCCTGATTCATTACTTGATGATGTTGCTGCAAGAAGTCAGCATTCTGCCGGGAGGCTTTTAGCAGTTTAGCTTCATACTAGAAGAAATCAATTAATGTCTTTATTAGTTGCTGGATATTAATAAAGAAAGATTAAATAACTTGTTAATACATGTTTACTCCCTATAAAAATAATTGTGGGGATTGGAAAAATTTAAAATGATCATGCTCATTTTTTATGGTTTCATGACATCAGGCACATAGAGTGGAAGGGGGCCACATATTTGTGATAATGTGTGATTAGGTTTTCTTACTTTTGTGACAAATATATGACAATGGGGGGAGATTGGATACAAAAATCTGACAACATAGTGTGACGCAATATATGGATGACCCCTAATGTTTTACAATATTTATAAAGATTGTAATTCTAATCTGCTTCTAATTTACATTGTATGTACCAGTATATTCTTACCTCCATAGTTATCCTTGCCACCAGCTTTTTTCTTTCACTTTCCGATGCTTGAAGTTGAGATTCCAGAGTACTTTTTGCATCCTCGGCTTCCTTCCAATGACTGGTAATTTTAGTGATTTCTTGAGCACCTAAATTAAAATATCTCATGAATGCTAATAGATCTAATTAAATAATTGTAAATTAGGGGTTAAATCCATATTATAATTTAGTAATCTAGAATTAAATAGCATAACAGAAATGTGTACATTTTTTTCGGCGGGGGGTTTTTTTTTTTTTTTTTGGGGGGGGGGGTGTGTGTTTTTATTTATTTATTTTCTTAACATATTAATTAATTAATATACATTCCCTTACACTCCGCTTTTATATGACGTACAGCTTCTTCTTTTTCTTTGGCATGGTCTTTCTGTAGACTTTCAATGACACTCTTGTGCTGGCTGACCTCAGTTTGAAGGCTCTTGAATAATGTTTTACAAAAGACAATACAAATTCATAATTTCAAATGAAAATAATAACCTTTCTTTCTTTTAAAATCAAACAATTTAACTGTTAATCTCAATAGCATTAAATGAATACATTGATTCCATAAATTGAATGCTGGACTTTTAGGATAAAAAAAAAATTTGAATAAATAATTTTACATAAAAGTAAAAGGTATTTTTTGTACTTACCAGTAACAATCAGTAACAATGGATTTATTCTTAGAGAATAAAATAAGATAATGTATCTAGGTTACATGACGACATTAAATGAAACATGTGGCATAAAATATTTACTCCCCATCTTTACCTTATTCTTATTAGCCAGTTCTTCTTCTAACTTCCAAATTTTATCTGAAAGTTGAATGGTAAATATTCAAAATAAATTAACAGGAAATAGCACTATTAACTTTTAAACTTGAGCTTTTAAAAACCTTAAGCTTTCAATTCATTTCAATTATTTATATTAACAAAAGTAATTAAAGAGCAAAATCTTACTCTCCAGATCACAAACACTATCAAGTCTTTCCTGGCAGCTTTTAACGTTTTCTTCAAGTATGCAGCATTCTATAATAATAATTTTCAAAGATTGTTTTCATCTTACAGGTAAACTTTTTTTTAAAGTAAATATTAACATCCTGACTTTTTTGTCCCATTCATATGAAAAGATAATATTATTTCAGATTACATTATTTTGACACATTTCTAAAAAAAAACTAATTACATGAAAACTGAACAGAAATTTCATTACAATATAAAAATATAAACTCTTCTGGCACACTATTGACTGGTTACAGGTGGAATACAATACAGATTGTAGATACAAACATTTCCATGTTTTCTAAAAAAATAAATCCTTCTTAAATATTTAAAAAATATAACCAACCTGAATGCAATTTACTATTGGTCTCTTTCAGAATATTTGCTTCTGCCAATGCTCGAATTAATTTCTCTTCAATTTCTCTTAGCTGGGTTGTTGTGTCTGTCACCTTCTATGTTATTAATAACATAAAATAAGTTTGTCATGAATTCTTGAACTTACTAATACAGGCCTAGTAAAGTAGATAAGCAAACATGGTTCTTTAAAATAAGCTACAGAGAAAACTGGCATTTTACTCAGAAGTATTTTGATACAAGACTCTTATGTTTAACATATGGTTTTCTAACCCTAAGATGACATCAACAAAAAACATGAAAATGTAGTCACTTGTAGTGGCCATTTTTTGCTATAGGAGCATACTAATTTTGAAACCTGATTCACCAGATATACCCAGCTAGTTACAACAATTTCTACTAATTTGATACTTTCTGTGAAACAACTTTTAAGTCTCAGCTTTATCTTCATATCATTCAAAAGATCTGTCAGTTAAATGTTTATGTTTGTTTGTTTGTTGAAATTGTTTTTTAGAGTTTATTCCACTAATTTAGGTACTAGAGTTCAAATGTTCAAATAAATGCAAATTCTACCTTTGGAAGAGCTGGCTTTCAGCTTTCCAAAAACACTGAACTAATCTTTGGATCATGTATATAACAGAATGATTAAGACTAAACTATTGGTTATATTTAAATATAAATTAAATAGGCATAGAGATATAGAGATTAGAGAATAGACTACATTTTGGGCCTACAACGAGTATTAAAAAAGGGATCATTGTTGTTCAAAATTAATCATTTATAATCATTATTATCACTATGCAACCACAGGATTAGCAATTTAATAGATTCAGAGTAACACTAATGATTTTAATATTAATATGTTTTATGTCATAATAGTGCTATACTCTTTATACCCATGCCCATGCAACTTATAATAACATAATATAAATTATAAATATAATTACAGTTGAGTATGATTATGACTACTATGAGTATTAATATTAGATGGACAGGGTGAGCTAAACTAAAGCATAATTATGGAAGTTGTTTGGGATATTTGTTATAGTACTTGTTTTGTAAAATGATAATTTTCTGAAATTATTTAACTATATCGAGGCAGAATAACGGCAGATAGCCAACATTTGGGCACTCCTCCCAACGCCGGTCACAAATTAAAAAATGTAAACGTATCAAATGAGCAGTTACTTTGGTATTTCAATAATGGTCAAATTTTATAATATCACTCAAAAACTTCAAATTGAAGTACTGTCCGAAAATGTGTTGTGGGTAAAGCGCCATTGGAAAGCACACAAGCAGCTTGTTTTTGGAAACAGGCCATGGCGTGTTCCACCTTGTTAAACTTGAATTGTGACACTCAAGTTGGAAAAAGTTTTTGTCAGATGTAGTTTACAAAGGTGACCCAACTTTCAATGCTTTTGAAAAGCATAACATTTCAATTTCACTTCATAAACTGTAAAGCTAATAGTATAGTAATAGTTAGTAAATCATCATGCCGATTATCTGCATGCTACGCCCACATGACAGAAAATAACCCGATACTAGTGTTACGTATGTTGCATGTATGGGCGCCCACAGGGGGGGGGGGCAAGGGGGCCCTTGCTCCCCCCCCGCCCCCCCCCCCCCCCCCCCCACCCTTGGTTGAAAA